AAACACAACAGCCACTCGGTCTTTTCTGGGTTGAGCACAAGCTTGTTAACCCTCATCCAGTCAATTTAAAGCATTAAATGTGGCCCTTCCAATTAATTTTGCAACTTTGGGCGATGGACAGTAGATGGAACCAAAAACTAAAGAAAGCACTTCAATTAAAATCCAAATTATTACTCAGCAAATGACTCTGAGCAGCTTACATTCTTCATTCTAGCTGCGATAAGATTAAAATTATGCAGCTGTGCCAATTTATTAAATGTGTTAAGAATTGAGTAGAAGGCTTGAGAAGAATTTCTCAGCTTTGGATGAAAAGGCACAACTGCTATAGATAAGCCCTCCGCTTACGACCACAATTGTTGCCCACATTTTTTGGTGCTAAGCAAGACAGTTCTTAAATGAATTTTGCCCCATTTTTACAACCTTTTTTGTTAAGCGAGACGCTGCAGCTGTTGAGTTAGTAACACAGTTGTTAAATGAATCTGGCTTCCCCATTGACTTTGCTTGTCAGAAGGTCACAAAAGGGGAAAATATGACCCCTTAGCAACCCGTCATAAATATGAGTCAGCTGCCAGGCATCTGAATTTTGATCACATGACCATGGGGACGCTGCAACAGTCGTAAGTGTGAAAAATTGTCATAAGTCACTTTTTTGTGACTGTTGTAACTTCAAACTGTCACTAAACATACTTTTGTATGTATGACTACCTTGATAATATTGGTAGGATGATGTTAATTGTTTTCAATTTCATCCTCCTTCTCCTGCAGGATTATACAGTTCCAGAGGCCGGTTAAATTCAAAGATGTTTTGCAGAAGGTTATGGATGCTTTTGGGCAGTTGATGGATTTGCATTATGCTGAGAATGAGGTACCTTTCATGTTGCTTTTTCTTCTGTCTCTGCTGTCCTCTTGCCCTGGCATCTGTCCGTCACAATATCCCGTATTTTAAAAGCCATTGCAAAAAGAATTTCCAAAATTTAGAGAGGCGTCATATCTCTTGCGTTTAGCCAGGGATATCCAACATTGGTAACTTTGAGACTTGTGGAGTTCAACTCCCAGAATTCCCCAGCCAGCGTGCTTTAAGATGGGTGGACTTCAACTCCCAGAATTCCCTGGCCAGCGTTCTTTAAGATGGGTGGACTTCAACTCCCAGAATTCCCTGGCCGGCGTGCTTTAAGATGGGTGGACTTCAACTCCCAGAATTCCCTGGCTGGCGTTCTTTAAGATGGGTGGACTTCAACTCCCAGAATTCCCTGGCTGGCGTTCTTTAAGATGGGTGGACTTCAACTCCCAGAATTCCCTGGCCGGCGTGCTTTAAGATGGGTGGACTTCAACTCCCAGAATTCCGTGGCCAGCATTCTTTAAGATGGGTGGACTTCAACTCCCAGAATTCCTTGGCCAGCATTCTTTAAGATGGGTGGACTTCAACTCCCAGAATTCCTTGGCCAGCGTGACTGGCTGGGGAATTCTGGGAGTTGAATTCCACCCATCTTAAACTTGGTTGTGGTTGGATACCCCTGCTTTATCCAATAGATCAGGCGTGTCAAACTCGATTTCATTGAGGACCACATCAGGGTTGTGTTTGACCTCAGGAGGCCGGGTTGGGCGTGGCCAGCTCGACATCACTCGTGTCGGGGGCACCTGTGACGGCCGAGCATTTTGCCAGGGAAAACGGGCTCCCGCGCTCCATTTTCGGCTGCCACGACCTCCTACAACCCTCTTGTCGGTGAAAACGGAGCTCGGGACCCCGTTTTTGCTGGTGGAGGCACTGCAGGCCGATCCTTCACTGTTTCCAGGGTGGCCCCGTGGGCCAGATCTAAGTACCCAGTGGGCTGGATCCCCCTCCCTTCCCGGGCCTTGAGTTTGACACAAATAGATGTTTGCAATAGATGTTTTGCACAGTCAGAAGTTTTGAATGACCCAGGAAAAATAAGTAAGTCAATAAACCTGGAGAACGCTTTTAGTTTTGAAATCCCTTTTAGTCTAAGATGGTGCTTTTGAAGACAGTAAGCTTTTTTCTGGATGTCTGCCGCTTTATCCCCTCCCTTTTCAGCTTCATGTTCTTGAGCCCTGGTTCAAACAGGGAGAGAATTAAAGAGATGAGTCAGCATTTGAAAGCTTTTGTTGCCTTCCTGCCTTACATTAATGTACTTATTCAGTGTCTTGGATTCAGGAAAGCTGCGTTTGTTTCCTGAATTTGCAACGTGCCAACTTAACGCTCCCGGTTTGCATGCGTCTAAATTTAGGCCAGTATCTGGTAGAAAACCTGTCCGTGAACACCGACAAGTTTTTGCTAGCATGGAGAACCCAATTTTTTCTCAGTTTTTTTGGCAACGGGCAAAAAGTCAAGAGCGAGGCTGCACCACATCGAGTATATACTTTTCAACCCGAGGTCTTTTGAGGCTGGCTGCTAGGGACCCGAAGTCCCGAGAAACAGAAGGAAGGCTGTAGTAGGATATTTTTATTTCCAGATTTTGAAAGATTAATGGGCATTCCAAGGAAAGGCACTGGAGAGAGAGAGAGAGAGAGAGAGAGAGGGAGCCCTGGAAGTGATTTGCAAGCGATTGCCAGAGGAAAGCGGTTAAAACAAATTCCAAGTAGGGAATGCATATAAATTGTACTGCAGTCGTAAGAATGTAAATTTAATTCTTGATTCCTCTTTGCTGGGAAAAAAAAAAGAGAGAGAAGACCTTCTTTGGAATAGGCCTGACTTGCCAGGTTAAACTGAACTCTGCCACTGATTCTAATCTAGCCAGGAATGGACATCTGATATTCTTCTCAGTTTAATTTCTATTACCTACGGAAATCTTCAACCGGAACAGCAATATAACTCTGCAGCGTGAGAAGAAGTCGAAGGGTATCAAAGAGGCAACTTTATCCCCATTTTTGGCAGCTCTGTTCCATTCCACACCACCCAGAAGCCCCGTCCCAGAGCACGCTTCAGCGTTTGCAGGCCTATACAGGCAGTCCTCGGGTTATGACCCCGATTGAGCCTCAAATTTCCAATGCTAACCAAGACCGTTGTCAAGTGAGTTTTGCCCGGTTTGCTCGCCACAGTTGTTAAGTGAATCTGGCTTCCCCTATTGACTTTGATTGTCGGAAGGTCGTAAAAGGGGTTCACAGGACACACACCCCTCCCGGGACGCCACAACCGTCACAAATATTCCAGGCAGCCAGATGAAACAGCCATAATGATAGAACCACTTCAGAAATCAAATACAGACAGTCCTTGAATTACAACCAGGTTCAGGAGAACCCGTAGCTAACGTTATGGCCGCTTCGGAGAACCTCCAAATCCCATCCCTGGTTGGCCCCGCCCACCCCATCCCTCCCCTCCCCGGATTCTGCACGCGGCCCATTTTGGATGCGAGAAAAGTGCAGGGCCAGCGTAGAGGCTCGGGGAGGGGGAAAAACAGGCCTCCCGGAGGGCCTCCAATTCCTAGAGAGGCAGTTTTCGCCCTCCCAGAAGCTCGAGTAAAGCCTCCGGAGCCCCAGGGAGGGCAAAAATGCCCCACCACCATGGTGCAAGAGGCCAACTAGGCCACACCCACCATGGCCACACCCACCCAGCAACTGGGAACAGAACCCGTTGCTAAAAATTTTGAAGCCCGCCCCTGCTTACAACCATCATGGAACCTGCCCATCACAGTTGCAATCATCACTAAACTGGTAGGTCCTGTGATAAACTCCATTTTATTACCTTTTTTTTGCAACAGGGAGCCAAGGGATCTCTATGAGCAAAAGCTTTGCCAAAACCTGGAAGCGGCTGCCAGTTTTTTGCAAAACCATCATAAAACACAGTCACGTAACCAAGGGACCTTGCCAACGGCTGTAAACGCAGTTTCTTGCCAATCACCTGAAGGTTTATGGTTTCAAGGGAGGGGGGGCAGACCATCAGAAACTTCAAATCTGGGTCATAAAGGGGGGGGGGTCCCTCAAAACTTCGAACTGTTCATAAGTTGAGGACTATCTGTGAAGCCATTGCAGTTCTCTTTCTGTATTTGCCCCGAGGATCCCGTGCATTTCTAAGATAAAGGTTCCCCTCGCACATGTGTGCTAGTCGTTCCTGACTCTAGGGGGCGGTGCTCATCTCCGTTTGAAAGCCGAAGAGCCAGCGCTGTCCGAAGACGTCTCCGTGGTCATGTGGCCGGCATGACTCAATGCCTGAAGGAGCACGGAACACTGTTCCCTTCCCACCAAAGGTGGTTCCTATTTTTCTTCTTGCATTTTTTACCTGCTTTCGAACTGCTGGGTTGGCAGAAGCTGGGACAAGGAACGTTACGCAGCGCTCGGGATTCAAACTGCCGAACTGCCAACCTTTCTGATCGACAAGCTTAGCATCTTAGTTTCTAAACCGTTAAATAAACAGGCCTCCGGATCAACCGAGAATTGCATTCTAAATGAATTGCAGAGCATTGCATTGTATTGGGAGTACTGGCAGTCCTTGACTTACAACCCTTCATTCAGTGACCTTTGAAAAGTTACAACAGCATTGGAAAAAAGTGACTTATGACTGGTGTTCACACTTCATGACTATCGGTGCATCCCCGTGGACCCATGATAAAAAAATCAGAGACTTGGCAACCGACTCATATTTATGACGGTTGTAAGGGGGGGTCACGCGGTCTCCCCTTTTGCGACCTTCCAACAAGCATAGTCAACGGGGAAGCCGGAGTCATGCTTAACAACCGTGCAACTAACTTAAATGCTTCAGCGATTCACTCAGCAACTGTGGAAGAAAGTTTGTAAAACGGGGCGAACCTCACTGAACAACTGCCTCACTTAGCAACAGAATTTTTTTGGGGGGAGGAGGGGACGTTAAGTCAAGGGCTACCTGGGTTTATTCAATCCAGGTCTTTTCTTTCCAGCAGAATGAGTGACCGGTTGGTTGGTGGTCATCCTTTCCTAAGTAATTGTTTAGATAACTTTTATCGAGTTCTTCCTTGAGGGAATGTTATGATGGAATAAAAGGTTATAGCCCCTGGTGTTTGTTTCTGTTTTCCAGTAGAAAGCTCCAATGGCTTTGCATCGTTCTGGGTTCACGGGGGCCCCAAACCCCTGCCGTTCCCAAGCTCCCCCCACGCCCCCCCCCACCTCGCCGGCCTTCAGCCACTTCCTGCCTTTTCTCTTGTTTGCGACTCAGCTGCCTGGTCCGTGTTTGTTCAAATCTTTTTCCAGCTCCTGATTCCCCTGAAATCGCAAGAAGATTTGGATCGAGCTGTGGAACATTTAGACGTTAGCCCTTCTCTCAAAAGCTTGAGAGTGTTTGTGAAAACTCCAAAGGAAACAAATGTGAGACTTGTTATTTCCCCCCCCCTTTTTTTTTTGTTTTTTTAAAAAAAGATTTGTCCGTATTTTATTTGTGTACAAAGCAAAAAAAAAGGCCATGTGGTCATCTGAAGGGGCGGAAACACTTGTATATTTTGATGATTGCAAAGTTAGAAGCAAACCCCCATCCCCTGGGAATCGGTGTTTGGCAAATCTCACTTTTCCAAACTTTTGTTTATACGGGAAATTAGTGTTGTACAGGTAGTCCTCAAACTTGCAAACACTTTTTGAGTGACCATTGAGCTACAACGTCGCTGAAATAAGTCACAAACAACCGTTTTTTCCCCCACATTTACGGCCTTTGCAATATCCTGGTGGTCATGTGATCAAGATTCAGACACTTGGCAAGTAACTCGTATTTATGACGGCTGAAATGTCCTGATATTATGTGATTCCCCTTTTGCAACTGTAGGGCTACCCCCAAAAGGGCCGCTGCAGTCTGGGTCCTCCTGGCCCTCTTGGTATTGCTCCCGGTCCATACCAGTCCCTTGCTCATATACCTCTACTGGCCTGGACTAGTGGTGGTCAGTCTCCTGTTAGCAGAAAATTCAAAGTGTGGTGATGGTCAGTCTTTTTTCCAGTCAGCGGGTCATGAGATCAGATGGTATTCAGGTGGCTGGTTGGCCCTTCTTCCTTTCTGTCTCTCTCCATCCACCGTCTCTGCTCCTTTGATTCTTCTACTTGCTCCACAAAAACCTCTCCTCTTCTTCCCTATCCTTTTCTCTCCCTCAGGCTTGCCCCACAGAAGCCTCTCCTATCCTCTTCTCTCCCTCAGGCTTGCCTCACAGAAGCCTCTCCTATCCTCTCCCCTTCTCTCCCTCAGGCTTGCCTCACAGAAGCCTCTTCTCTCCCTTTCTCTCCCTCAGGCTTACCCCACAGAAGCCTCTCCTATCCTCTCCCCTTCTCTCCCTCAGGCTTGCCTCACAGAAGCCTCCTCTCCCCTTCTCTCCCTCAGGCTTACCCCACAGAAGCCTCTTCTCTCCTCTCCCTCAGGTTTACCCCACAGAAGCCTCTTCTCTCCCCTTCTCTCCCTCAGGTTTACCCCACAGAAGCCTCTCCTCTCCCCTTCTCTCCCTCAGTCTTGCCTTGTTTTATGCTAATTAGCATTGCCTCATTAGCATCACCTGGATATATTTTTAGTATTTGGGTACCGTTGTACTTTATTCCCAATTAGCTCTCATTATTTGACAAGTAGAATGAATCCTAACCTTTTTAAGACAGATAGTCCTTTTCTTATGACCACAATTGGGGCCAGACATTTTTGTCAAGGAACAAGGTGGGTTTTGTAAGCAACTCACACCAGATTTTATGACAATTTAGTGGATCACTGCAGTTATTAAATGAATCGTACAATCATTAAGTGAATCTGGCTTCCCCATTGACTTTGCCCAGTTAGAAAGTTGCAAAAGGAGATCGTGTGATCTTGGGATACTGCAATGGTCATAAATACGAACCCTTTCCCAAGCATCCAGATTTGGATTACATGACCACAGGGATGCTACAAAGGCCATAATTGTGAAAAAATGATACTGTCATTTTTTTCAGTGCTGTTGTCACTTCAAACGGTTACTAAATGAGCTGTCGTAAATCAAGGACCACCTGTGGAGGGGCTACACAGCTTTTCCCTCGCTGTTAACTGATGTCACCTTAAATAGATCACCTAGATTTTGCTTGATTCCCTCACTAATGGAGCCCTGGATCCTCCTGAGATGTGGTATCACTTCTTGCAACAGCCGAGATAGTTGAGTCATTACCCGTATTTTTCGGAGTATAAGACGCACCCTTTTCCTAAAAAAAAAAGAGAGAGAGAGAATGAAAATCTGGGTGTGTCTTATATACTGAACACAGCATTTTTGGCCTCCAGAAATCCCGCCCCCTTCGCAAAAATGGATGTGCAGAGGGTTTGGGACGCCTGCAAAGTTCACCTGGAGGCTGGGGAGGGCAAAAATGAGCCCCCCAGCCCCCAGGAGCACTCTACACACCTCCCAAAGCTCTGCATGCCCCCCTTTTTTTTGCAAAAAAAAAATGAGGCGTGCAGAGGGTTTCAAAGGCCTGCAGAGTACAAAAACTTTTTAAAAAAATTTACCTCTTCAAAAGCATGGTGCGTCTTATACTCCAGTGCGTCTTATAGTCCAGGGGAAACTACCAACAACTTTTATTCTATTTGCAGCTTCTGCAACCCAACAACACCAAGCAGCATGAAATGAGGATATCTAAATCCATGGGAGATATTCTGGGATCCCTGTATAAAGACACCGAGAGGACACGGAAGCATTCAACAGGTTAGAGAGATGAAGTTGTGTAGTAGACCATGTCCTACTGAGGATAAATCCCATTCTTGTATCTGAATAAATACTGCTCCTCTTCAGCCTAAACTTTCAGTGTTTCTCGACTTGGCAACTTTATTTTATTTTTTCCCCACTGTTTAAAAAAGTATACTTTATTAAACTTTTTACGAAACAGAACATAAAGAGCCAAATCCAACATCCATTCTACCCATTCCTAAGACATTGGTGTATCCCATTTTGCTTATCGTATTACATACTTTTCATCCGTTTTATATTTACAATTTCCTCTTTACATTTATGATTCCTATAGCCTAATATTTACCTATATAAATATTCTACTTTCATTCGTTATTCCTATTCTCTAACCACCGATACCATTTATCCCATACTGTATACTATTCTTTATCTTCTTTACCTTGCAGTTTAAAAGTTAATTTGACCATTTCCGCGCAGTCCACTATTTTTTTTAATTATCGTGTTTTTGGAAGGTATGCTGTCTAATTTCCAATTTTGGGCGTATGTTATTCTTGTTGCTGTCGACTTGGCAACTTTAAGCGGAGTGGACTTCAACTTCCAGAATTCCCCAGCCAGGGATGGGATGAGATTAGACTAGATTAGATTAGATTAGATATGGATGGATAGATGGATGGATGGATATACATAGAGCAATAGCAATAGCAGTTAGACTTATATACC